TACAATTCCAGCAGTCGACAGCACCCTCCTGGCAGCTCCAACCGACCCAAAAAACGTGTTTGCAAAATTATTACCCCAAAAAAAAAAAAAAAAAAAAAAAAAAAAAAAGGGCTCAACTTTTGTTTGGGAAATCAGGAAATGCCCCCTGAAAGTTGGGGTATTATGTTAAATACCCTTCAAACACAGGGGTATGCTGAAATGCCCCGGACTTTAGCATCCGCCCCTCTCCCCGTCATTGGCAATGCTGAAATGCCCCGAACTTTTGCATCCGCCCCTCTCCCCGTCATTGGCAACTTCATCATATGCCCCTGGCCCTGGGCTGCAGGGGGCAAGCCCATTTCTTTTGCAATCTGGAGGGTCAAACGACCACAAATACCGGGGCATATAGACAAGTTGCCTAGGGGCCGGTAGGGGTACATGCAAAAGATGACAGGTCCAATTGGCAAGTGGGGCATTTCGCAAAGTTTCACTACTGTCATAATGGCATTTTGCCATACACATGCCTTTTAGGGGTCTCTGAAGAAATACCCCAACTTCCAAGGGCATTTCGACAGTTCCCCCCTTTCGTTTTTCGACAGTATTGAGGAGAATTTGTGAAAAAGACTTGAGAAGAATTGCCTAGAACTGCCGGATTGTCATCCGGGACATGGTACGGAGATGATTAGCATGGCCCCCCCAACAAACCACTTTGAATTCACTGGTCGGATTCAAAATGCTGGACCGAAAAGAAAATTTAAGATAAGAGAAAAAGGGGAAAGGGAAAAAAAAAATTGGCACCCCTGTTCCAGACAAGATCCCTTTGTCCCAGACTTTTCCACATCGCCTGGATCCGAGCTTCCATAATCCACTGGCCAGATCCAGCAAAAAGTGAAGCCCCAGGACTCAAACCAAAACGAAGGCACCAAGCGGCTGCTAACTTCATGAAGACCTCCAAACAAAAGGTCTTTCCATAATCCGTATCAAAAAGGGGAAGGGGGGGGGGGGGCGGAAGGGAAAATTGTTGAAATGCCCCTGAAAGTTGGCGTATTTCTTCCGGCACCGCTAAACATGGGATTCCGAATATGATACACACCTGCCATCCAACTCATGTAGTTTTCCAAGGGATGCTGGACCCGTTTTCCAGCAGGTGATGCTCCCCACTGATAGATTGAGCCTTCCCCACACGCCCACTTAACGAGGATGCTCTTATCACCTCGTTATAGTGGAAACCTGAGACGAAGTTTCTTCAAAAGAAAAAAGAAAAAAGAAAAAAAAAAAACCATGGGAGTATGGCAAAATGCCCCTAAAACGACCCTGGAACGTTCCCAAATACCCCACTCACCTATCGGGCCCCACATCTTTTGCATAAGCCCCTGCCGGGCCCTGCCCAACTTCTCCATGTACCCTGGTGGATTTTGCAAGTGCCTGTATGGGTACTGGCCATGTTTTCTGTTTGCACACGTCTCTCTCTCTCTCTCTCTCTCTCTCTCTCTCTCTCTCTCTCTCTCTCTCTCTCTCTCTCTCTCTCTCTCTCTCTCTCCGCGCGTCTGTGTGTGTGTGTGCGAGTGAGTCTGTGTGTGGGCCTGACTGTATGGGTATGATAGAAGTATAGGTAGGCAAACCGAAAGATCGTCAGACAGGTAGGTAGGGGGTGCACAGAGAGAGAGAGAGAGAGAGAGAGAGAGAGAGAGAGAGAGAGAGAGAGAGAGAGAGAGAGAGAGAGAGAGAGAAGTCACACTGTGCTCGAATTGCCTTTTCAGACTGGTCGAAATTCTTTTGCTCATTTGAAACTCTGTTGTGAATGAAACATACTTACTCCCCCCCGACCAACCCCAACCCCCCTCCCAACCTCCCCGAAAAAATGAACATTTACTCCTGCCATCTTACATGCACCATGTATCAACAGAAAGCACCAGAAATTGCTCCAGATCAGTACTTAAATGACAACCCGCCCCATGACACGTCAGCACACACAGTGCCCGTTCGTGGCCAACGATTTTTGACATGGACCTCCTTGATCATAAGTAATCCCGGCCACCTCAAAATCCGGTGGCCGCACACAATTGGAGGCTGCCTCTATAGCCCTGTGCATGGGAAATGGTCTTCTTTTTCTTCCCTTCAGTTTTTAACATCCTACCCCTCTAGCACGGTGGGCCCGCGGGGGGGAGGTCGTGTTCCGCTGCGCACCGGAATTGGCCCGAAGTTTTGATTCGGGCCGGCGGATGAAGGCGATCGAGGGAGGGGCGTTGTGCAGAGTGGCGCGCGTACCGAATTGTTCACAGCGCGCCACTAAACAAGAGAGCGCGCCCACGGGGCCGGGTACACGGCGGGCGTCGATGCGCATCAATATCTGAACGCGCCCGCCGTCGGATAGGAAGAAAGCGTCGTTTCGTGCCCCAGCCCCTTTTCTTTTCTTTCTTTTTCTTATTTTTGATTTGGTATTCTTTTTGTAATTTTTTTTCTTCTTTTTGATTTTGTATTCGTTTCGTCGCTGCAGGGCGGAGCGGCGGCGGGCGTCGATGCGAGGGAATATCTCGAAGCGCCCGCCGTCGATAGCAAGAAAGTGTCGTTTTCTGTTTTTTCCCTTTTCTAATTCTTTTTTTGCGTTTTTTTCTTTTCTTTTCTTGGAACGCGTTTCTCCTTTTTTTCTTTTCTTTCTTCCATTGTTATTAGTTTTTTTTTTCTTTATTCGTTTTCGTCGTTTTGGCGCACACACACACACACACACACATTA